GATGTAACGGATTACAAACACATACAAATATAAATAAAAAAAAGATGTTTGTAGCTGGAACAAAAACTCATTACAAAAATTGTTTTTTTTTCTAAAAAAGTTAAAAAATAAATAAATTAACACACAGAAAAAAAGGTTTAGGTAACATATAAAGTGTTAGAATAAGGTCAACCATGCAAGTAATAACTCGAGTATTTATTAATTGTCTTTTTTCTAATTTTTAGCTATAATTTCAATATTTTGTTATTATATAATCGATTTATTTATTATAATTTTTACTTTTATTATTATATTTTAAATAATTCCTCTCTTTCATAATTTTATAAATTCTAAAATCCACTAATTTTTTTTAAAAAAATCTATTTTTTTTTAGTCAATCATGCAGGTTTATTTATTTATTATTATTTTAATTTTTATTATATTCTATATAATTTACTCCCTTTTATAATTTTATTAATTTTGTTAAAATCCATTATTTTTTTAAAAAAATCTAATTTTTTTATTATCATTGTATTCTTTGTTTGAAGCTCTACACAATATATATTTATACAGATATTTGTAGGAATTTCGATATGCAATTATTAGGTATTAATATTCTAAATACAATACAAACTTATTTTAATATTACTATATTATATTTTTTTGTTATTATATAATCCATTTATTTATTATTATTTTAATTTTTATTATATTTTATATAATTTGCTCCCTTTTATAATTTTATTAATTTCGTTAAAATCCATTATTTTTTTTTTAAAAAATATTTTTTTTATTATAATTGTATTCTTTGTTTGAAGCTCTACACAATATATATTTATAGAGATATTTGTAGGTATTTCGATATGCAATTATTAGGTATTAATATTCTACAATACAATACAAACTTATTTTCATACCTTGTTTAAAGCGTAATACTACAGGACGTTATTCAAGTCATTTTTTATTTGATTTTTTATTTGATTTTAGCGCCACATATTGAGCTTAGCCTGTACCAAAACCACCAACATTTAAAATGTTATAGATTGAACAGAGGGAAATTCAAATTGCATGTTTTTATTTCTAGAATAATACTGATAATATTGATAATAAGTAATTAATCTCATTGCGATTATTAAATTCATAATACCTAAATATATTTTTGTATATTTATCACTTAAATAAAAACAGATAAAAAATCGTATAAATCCGGCAATTCCAGTTTGACGCGCATGGGTATGATGTGGAACGACTCACCAATACAAGATTTAGTATAGGCGTAAATACTATATATACCTCACACAATATCATCTCGTCTGTTTAAAGGTAGTTTATTAAATGTGAGTGGTGGTTTAATTTATAAAAATAACGTAAGTGATATTAATTATATGTGCTAAATTTTATAATCAATATTTTTTGAATATTGGAATAATAGAGTTTTAAACAACTATAAACTGACCGCTTGTTATAATAATTATGTTATGTTGAATTATTCTAAGCAGCTTATAATTTATATAAATACATCAATTGTATATTTTATATGTAATATTAATTCAAATATTTGTTTTTACTATAAAACATGTGTAAACAACGACAATTATTACTATGACGTAGGCACGTGTTATTGATCTGTTTCCGCAAACAGGTGTCCGGAAAATTACTTTCGATTTTAACATTTTTATAATTATTATAACAAAATACGTTTCTTTAATAGTTTTTTAAATTATTTAAAACTTTAAATTCAAAATTTCGCTCCATACATTTGTGAAATAATGTGCAATATTTTTTTTGATAAAATATGTAAAAATAGAGTATAATTAATAACTGGTTAATTTGGTTTTAATATTATATTTTAAGTGTTAAAAACTTAAAATATGTGATTTGATCATATATGAAATGGAAACCTACGCATATTTTAAAACTAGAGAAACCAGTTACGTGTTATATGACCTCATAGTAGAGCCGCAGCATGAAAGAATTTTTGAAATTGATACTCTTGATGTTATAATATAAGAACTGCAGTTGTTGATTCAATATTTTTTTTAAATTATTACTTACCTTTATTATGAGAAATATAAATAGAAACTAGTGGTTTATGGCATCGTGCCTTAAGGCAAATTGCTGAAACTTTCTGTACCAAAAATTTAATTTTTAAAAAAGATTGATTTTGAAAAAAATAGATTTTTGAGAAATTTTAAACTTTTGAAAAAAATTTAATTTTTTGAATGTTTTTTTTTTTAAATATTTTGGAAATTTTACTTTTTTCAAAGCAATCGCACTGCTTTAGCTGCCTAAAAGACAAAATATCAAAGCGCGTAAGCGCCGCGTTGCCATAAAATATCTGATAATTTGATGTGCATATGTCTAATGATTATTTTTGAGCGCCAAATGACATGTTTTTAATTTTTTTACTAGATCTTCGAAACCGCTAGACCTGCCTTCCCAAAAATTTAATCAGTTGTTCATCTTGTCAATAAAAGTAAAATTTTTGAATTATTAAAATCGGACGCTCCGTTCTCCTAAAAAATGAGTACCGTTTTTGGCACATTTTGCTTTAAAATTCTTTAGAACGGCTAGACCTGCCTCTATCAAAAACTTATCAGCACGTCTCCTTATCAATACGAATCGAATGTTTTTGAATTATTTAAATCGGTTGATCGGTGCTCCCGAAATCGTCGACGGAAATTTGTATCCGCACACACACACACACATACATCCATTTTCTAAGGTATGCCAAAATGTTCAGAAACCTTTTTTAAAACGTAAAGATACATAAAATTTTCATTTTTGTTTTTTTTTGCGGGAAAATTAAACTATTTTTAAAATTTGCGGAAAAATTAAATTATTTTTAAAATTAAACTTTTAGATTTTTAAACTATTGCTTTAATTTATTATTAGTCTTACTATTACTTTGTTCTATTTTTTAAATTTAGTTTATTTTTTATAAACTTAGAAAAAATAAGGCATTGATACTTTACCCAAATTTTATCTTAATATAATGTATTTATTTCTTCAATATGGTATTTGATTTACCTTATATGATTTTTATGAGCATAATCTTTCTTTGAGCTTTAAAAAGTTGACCTTTTTCTTTAACCTTTGATATAGAAAACGGTTTAGATTAGGTCTTATTTCGGACGTAAACTTTTTGTCCACCAAATTAAATTTTTCTATACAATATCAAATATCAAAGATATATCTACTTTTTAGTTCATTTTTTAGTTCATTAATTTTCGAAGTTTGTTACTTGTAATCCATTTATTATACACTTGGCAAACCTTTGCCCCTGTTCATATGAAAATTGAAAATCATTTTGTAGACTATAAATATACATAACACATACAAACATACACATGTATTTTCTCTAAGATTTTTTTTAGTTTGTATTAACTATTATATCTGAATTAAAAAAAAGAAAAATTCTATCGTTAACTGATTCAAAACAATCTGCTATTTATAAAAAAAAAGATACATATAGTGTTTTAGATGGTGGAATTGTATTATAGTAAACAAACAAGTTTTTATAATA